CCAGCCAAGATATCTCGGCCCCGGCTCCCCGAGAGAAGCGGGAGCGTGCTAAGGAGCATCCACTCGTGCTTGGCAGCCCGGCCCTGACGGAGACACCATCTTTCAGTGTCTTGGCTCAAGAGCGCAGAGGAGGAATAGCAGTGCAGCTCTGGGAAAGGCAAGCACTGAGCTGGGGGGCAGGGGGGGGGATCTAGGAGCCAGCGAGCCAGAGTACCGCAGCATGCAGCCCGCTCTCTGAGGCGCTTAGCCTGCCTTCACAGCTTGGAGGCTCAGAGCATGTGCAGCGATTAAGAGGAACAAGCAACCTCAAAGCCTCTCTTCATTTCAGCACGGTTCTGCGGAAACAACCTGAACCCTAGCAGGCTTGTAGCCTCTCTGGGGCAGAGACTGCGGGCTGCACTGACAATGTAGTCTGAATGCACCAGCGTCATGTCTCCCCTCAAAGCCGAGGATCATAATTTAAATCGGGGGTCCTCAAACTTTTTCAACAGGGTGCCAGTTGAAAGGTGTCGTGATGGGTGCAGGCCAGCAAGGCAGTGTGGGCGGGGGGGTGCGGGGTGGGGGGGGGGGGGGCGCTCAGGGGCACACGCCCAGAGAGGCAGGGGTGGGTGCGCACAGAGATCATTTCCGAGTGAGTCCAAAACAATCTCCTTGCGAGCAAGCTGCCGCTGGACACACACACAGCAAAGCGCCGGCTTGCTTGCAAGGAGACCCTTTTCTCCGAGCGAGTGCAAAACATTCCCCACACGAGCGAGTCGCCACTTTGCCGTGCAGTGAGACCAAAACCTCTATGGTGGACTGGGTAAGTGGGCATGACGGGCCAGATCCGGCCTGCGGGCCGTAGTTTGAGGACCCATGATTTACATTATCTGCTTCGACCTTCAGGGTTCTAGGAGGATGCAGCACCCATCATTCAGTGCACACTTGGCCGTATGCTGAGCTCGCCTCCAGGGTCCTCCTCCAGGAGTCCCACCGACTGAGGTGAAACCTGCACAAGAGGAGACTTGTTCAATGCTGGCAGCCCAGAATTGGCACGTGGTCCCCGGAGAGGTTTGCTTGACCTCACTGCTTTCTTTTTGCACCATTTTTCTCAGCTCCCCGCATTCCATGGGGGTTGCTCCCACTCTCTCATGAAATAGTATTGAACAAAAGATAGTCAACATTTGGAAAAATAGGCCATTTAGTTATATAGTCATTATACATTTTTTAAACTGTGCAGAAGCTGTTTTTCTCTTTGGTTCACTTGTATTTTCCACTGAGGTTTTCATGCTTACGTTGCACAGTTTAAAGTGTTGTGTGAAGCCAGATCTTATGTCCATTCAAAAGAGCGTTGCTGCATATTCATTGGATCGATCTTTAAGCAGTAAATCTTACCATTATTGAAACCGCTCTGTTGGTTGCCAATCTGAAAGTAGCCACAATTCAAAGTGCCAGTGATTACTACCCCAAAACCCTATATGGCTTGGGACCTTTACCTTTAACAGTTTCTCCTTGACCTTATGTCCAGTCATGCCTGACTCTAGGGGGCAGTGCTCATCTCCATTTCCTAGCCGAGGGAGCCAGCGTTTGTCTGCAGACGTCTCCATGGTCATGTGGTCTGCATGACTGAACACCGAGGTATAGGGAAGGCTGTTACCTGCCCACCAAAGTGGTGCCTTTTCATCTACTTGCATTTGCATGCTTTCGAGCTGCAAGGTTGGCAGGAGCTGGGACGGAGCAATGGGAACTCACCCCGTTGTGCAGATTCGAACCGGCGACCTTTCGATCAACCCGCCCAGCAGCACAGCTGGTTTAAACCACTGTGCCACCTGCAGTCCCACAGCTATGTAAAACTCTTCCTGACATATCTGTAGGATCAGGTCAGGTGTGAGCACAGGGTATTCAAGGCTGGTTTTGATGAAGATAAGAGGATGAGATAAGATGGTAAGAAGATGAGATGGTAAGAAGACAAGAGAACATAAGAAGATAAGAAGAGCCATGCTAGCTCATAGCCAATGTCCCTCTAGTCCAGCACTCTATATCCATGGAGGCCATCCAGGTGGCCCCGGGCTCGCCTTCTCCTGCCCAGGCTCCTCAGCAACTGGTGCGTGCAGGCAAGCACCGCTGGGGAAGGAGGGAGCACAAGGCCTGCAAGGCTAGTAGCCATGGAGAGCCCCTCCCTCATGAATCTGCCCAGTCCCCTTTGAAAGCCATCCAGATTGGCGGCCATCTCCACTTCCAGTGGCAGCAAGTTCCATAGCTTAACGATGCACTGTATGAATGAGTACTTCTGTTTATCTGTCTTAAACTTCCTGCCAATCGATTTCATGGGATGACTCAGGTTCTGGTGGGACAGAGAGATAAATGCGTCCTTCCCCACTTTGCCCACGCTGAATTATTCTAAGAACCTCCATCATGCCTCCCACGACTCACCCTCCTTCTAAGCTGAACGTCCCAGCTGCAGCCGCTCCTCAGAGCAGTTTCTCCAGCTCCGGATCAATTTTGTTGCCCCCTCTGTACTTTCTTCAACTCAAGCATGTCCTTTTTCTGGTGCAGTGACCAGAACTTATGACAATATCCCAAGGTTGGTGATGCCAAGTATTTATATAAGGGAAGTAAGATTTTCACTGTTCCATTTTCTATTCCATTCCTGATTATGCCTAGCATGGAGTTTGCCTTCTTCACAGCAGCTGCGCACTGGGTCAATATTTTCATCAAGTTGTCCACTTCTACCTGAAGATCCCTTTCTTGATCAATCACTACCAGCTCGGATCCCATCAGACTATAGAAACATAGAACATAGAAACAGAGCGAGTCAGAAGGGGCCTCCCAGGCCATCTAGTCTGACCCCGGGCTCCAGCCAGCTCCGCTCACGACATGCCCACCATGTGCATGTCCAGCCTATCTTTGAACACCCGCACTGATGGGGCCTCAATGATGGGGCCTCAATGACCTCGTCAATATACCTGAAGTTGGGGGGTTTTTTGCCCCAAACATGCATTACTCTACATTGAAGTGCATTTGCCATGTAGATGACCATCCTCTCAGCCTATGGATAAACAGAGAGGACGTAGAGGAGGGATCAGACCATGCGGCCCACTAGATATTGTTTGACTGCGTCTCCCATCCTCCCTAGCCAGTTTAGCCAATGGTTCAAGATGGCATGAGCTATATGACGAAGGCCACACGATTCTCTTCCCTGACTTAGAACATCTTCCATTATTCAGAGCCAAAGGCATTCAGGGCTGAGAATTCTGGTCATTGGTTTGAAAAGAAAATAATGCAGCAAGGAGAAGGTGAGCAAAGAAAAATTCTGGTGCCGTACATTCTGGTGGGAAATCTTTCCTTCCCTCCCCAGGGAGGGCTTCCAGAGGAGAGACAAGAGAACTGGCTGACAGCTCCTTGAAGCTCTTTTTGCTGGTTGCCTAGCAGGCTGGATTCCCAGTGCCAAGAATGCCCCTTGCACAGAGTTAGAGCTTTCTCACCGTGCCATTTTCCCTTAAATCAAGCCCAAGATGCCCAAAAGAACATTTGAATTCTCGAATAATGCTGTCTTTGAGTCAGCCCATCGGTGTCTCTGGCCCATGAATGGCAGAAGCTCTCCAGAGGTCTTTCGCAAGCCTACAGTGGGAGACAGAACCCCGCCAGGCCTCGCCTTCCGTCACATTCACATTAACAGCCTTCACTTCTGCAGGAAGGACACTCTTCTTTGGACGTACGCCCTCTACACTGGTTTTCCAGAGCTCCAGCTCATGTGCAGAAAACACCCTCCTCAGAGTGTTTACACATATAAATGAAGAAATGTGCATGCAAAGAGTTGATACAAATGGGGGGAAACAAAATCAGTATAAACACAATAATGCAAATAAAAGAAAAACCCTAAACACATTGTCAAAACCCAACGCAATACAACAAGGCTTCATCCACAATATTTGGGGAAACTCAGCCTACGATGAATGCCATAAAACCAACCCAAAACTACTGACTATGCAGAACTTCCGTGAGGAAGGTGTTCCACATACTTGGATTGCCACAGAAACTGGTTGTTCCCAGATTGCTTCCCACTGTGAAGACAGACCACTGGGATCAGGTGGGTTCATTTGGGAGAGGTAAGATCAAGCCCAGTTGCTACAGCCGGGAACAAGGACAGAGTAGGCTCCTGGTGGCCCACTTTGGGAGCTACGACAGAGGACTAGCTAGACTGTTGACCTGACCTGGCTGCATTTTTCTTAGATTTTTGCTCACCTTTAACTGGAAATGCCAGGAAGGAGATATGAGAGAGGCAGGCCTGTGCCGGTGACGTTGGGTCTCTGCCGGTGAACGAGGCCTCTTCCATTCGGGACGTGGCTTCGTCCCAGTTCATCTAGTGATGCGAAAGGGTATTAAAATGGCCAGACAAATGGAGCATTTTTTCTTTCAAGAAAGAAAGTGGTGTCTCCAATTAAATGAGATGAATGCACCTTTAATTCTTTCAAGGAGTGTGTGTATTTTGAAAAACGTCCCGTGTGCGTAAACAGAATACAAAAGGTGCTTTGACTAGAATGGACACTCAGCTTTAAAAAAGCTGTTTCCCAACCTTCTCAACATTCAGAATCAATGTACCAGAGAGACCAGAATGACTCCTGGCATTGCTTGCAAAATACCCAGAGAGGAGCTGCGGAATGTCACAGAGCCAATCTGTCTTTCCCATCACAATGTGATATTTTCTTATGCCCAGAAGAAATAAGGTTCACCAAGATGAAACATTTCACAAGTAAAGCACAACTACTTTTCCCCAAGCAAACAGCTGCCGTTTTGCAGAGCCCTGGCAAAAATTACTCAGATGTGCAGAAGAAACAAACAGGAAGCAGAAGAGACCTGGCCTGGCTCTGCAAAATGCAACATGGCAGCCCAGCCATGGCCAAGGTGTAAATGAGGACCCAAAGATCAAGGGGGTAGAACTTTTCTCAGCCACAAAAAGAAGAGTGGCCCATGGCCTTCCAGTCATTTTTGGATCCCACCCGCCATGGGCCCCAACCAGCATGGCCCTGGTCAAGAACGGTGCAAGCTGGAACCCAGCAACGACTGAGCTGGGCTCAGCTGTCTCAGACTCCCCGCCCTCGCAATGGCTGCATTGCCTCCAGGGTAACGCACTGTGGGAGTCAGAGCCAAGGCCAGAGTAAGGGAGACTGCTGCTTCCCAATCTCTCTCTCTGCCATCCCTGTCTGGCTGTCCATCTGTCTGGCTGCTTCCCTCCCTGGCCCCTCAGTTCTTGATCACCCTCCTCCCTCGGAGTCACCCAGTCCTTCTCTCTCTCTCTCCCTCCCTCCCCCCGCAGTCACCCTCCTCTTTCTCAACCACCCCATGTCCTTCGAGAGGAATGCCTTCCGGGGCCTTTTCTTCCCGAACCTCATTTGTCTTGGAGCCCTGGCTGCCAAGGGCTGTGAGAAAGCACCGAGCCCACAGAGCGGCTCGGCACCAGCCAAGGTATCTCGGCCCCGGCTCCCCGAGAGAAGCGGGAGCGTGCTAAGGAACATCCACTCGTGCTTGGCAGCCCGGCCCTGACGGAGACACCATCTTTCAGCGCCTTGGCTCAAGAGCGCAGAGGAGGAATAGCGGTGCAGCTCTGGGAAAGGCAAGCACCGAGCTGGGGGGCAGGGGGGGATCTAGGAGCCAGCGAGCCAGAGTACCGAAGCACGCAGCCCGCTCTCTGAGGCGCTTAGCCTGCCTTCACAGCTTGGAGGCTCAGAGGATGTGCAGCGATTAAGAGGAACAAGCAACCTCAAAGCCTCTCTTCATTTCAGCACGGTTCTGTGGAAACAACCTGAACCCTAGCAGGCTTGTAGCCTCTCTGGGGCAGAGACTGCGGGCTGCACTGACAATGTAATCGGAATGCACCAGCGTCATGTCTCCCCTCAAAGCCGAGGATCATAATTTGAATGACCTTTTTCTCTGCCACCCTCCTCTCTCTCAGCTGCCCTGATCCTTTTCGCTCCTTGTCACCTCCCTCCCTCTTGGTCACCTCTTTCCCCCATCCCCTTCCTTCTCCTGGTCTCTGCTTTCTCTCTCATAGCCCTCCCTGGGTCTCTTGCATTCTCCGCCCCCCTATTCTTCCCCTCACCCCCAGTGGGCTGCTGGGGAACCACAGGCCAGCCTTGCCACCTGGAGAGGCACCTGCTTTTGTCCCAAGGTCACCCGTGGGCGAGGTTGACAGGCAAGCTCCATCCTGGCTGAGGGGGAAGGCCCGCTCCAGTGACGGGGCATCACAGCCATCATGGGGAATGCATGCTATCTCCTTCTCGCCTTGCCGGATGGGCACGCAAGGGGTGCGGGCAGAGCAGAGGCCCTGGGATGGTGCAACTTGGGGTCCCGCGACAGCAGGGGCTGGGCCTGATGGCCTTCTGGCCCCTCCCAGCTCGACTCTTCCAGGATCCTTCCCTTCACACAGGACAGTGCCACAGCTGGGCCATGTGCTCTGCCAGATGTGATGGGTTTTCGGAGACTCTAGACAAATTCATGGAGGAGATGAGTCATGCGACAGCTCAATGGAGCCCCTTGCTCAGGGGGGTGCAGTTCCCAGTTACGGGAAGGGGGAAAGAGTTCTGGCCTTCCTTCCCTGTTCATGGGCTTCCCAGAGACACCTGGAGAAACCAGATCCTGGACTGGGCCAGTTATGAGGCCCCTCCAGATGTTTCACCGTACATCTCCCATCATCCCTCACCATTGCTCAGCCTTATGGTAGTCAGACATGGGTCACCATTTGAATCGGTGGACCCACCTTAGCTGAACCGTTTTTGTGTCAGTTTATCAAGAACAAAGGGGACCGCATTTTAAGAAGCACAAGAAGTACAAGCCAAAAGGTCTATAGTTTCTCAGCCCTTGCATTTTCCGGCTCAGCAACATTCTCTTAGATCCTGGAAAAATTCCATCTGTGTGCACTGTGTGGAGTGTATAGGAGGGAACACTTGGTTCTTCGCGCACACACAAATGAGCTCTCTGCAGCTAGGATAATTTTCCATGCTGCAAATACAGGGCCCAGACCAGATAAGAGTCTTTCTGAGCCAGCACCCTGACAAATATGCTTTCCACACCAAGACTTCCTTTGGTGGGAAAAACAACAGACTCATTCGAACTGCTGCCTCTTCATTCATGCGCCGCCAGGTGAAAAGAAGCGGCTTCCTCATTGCCTGCCCTGGCTGGTGGAAACAGAAGATCTGTTCGCAATGTGGGACCGAAGTGCGCACCAAAGGGAAGGAGCCGCCTCTATTTATCCTCAGGGTTAGAAGGGCAGTTTGTTCCCAGCAGGGTGCCCCTCTTTCAACTGCAGAGAACTCCTGCATCTGACATTTCAATGGGAAGGGAAAAGAGAAGGAAAGGAGGAGGCTGGAGGGAAGGGGGGGGGGCAAGGGAAGAGGCTGGGAAGCAGCATAAAGAGACCAAAGTAAGAAAAAGCAAAATAACACACGCAGGGACACAAAAGTCGCCATCCCTCGAATTCTTTGGCGTTTCCCTCCCAATGGGACACCCAGGAGAAGCAGCACAATTGAGACATTCATGGAAGATGAATCAGGTTTGGGGGAGCCCAGAAGCAAAATCCAACAGGCCTCCTTCTTTGCAGACAAGATGGGATGCCTTGAATGGGAAGGGCTGTCACTCTCAATGCAAGGAGAAATAGAAAGCTCGTTCTCTGAAAGGCATGCATCTTGTTTCATTCCAGCTTCCTGAATTGCTGGGGAGCATGGGAGTGGCTACCCAAAGTCCCATCCCTGCATTGTGGTCCAGTGGAGAAAGAGCAGAATTTGTATTCTGGAGTCCCACATTCAAAGCTCAGTTCTGCTTTGGATTCACTAAGGAGCTGGGGACTGGTAGCATCAGTATTATTTATTTATTTAAAACTTTTCTGGACTGTCCCTTACCATGCTCTTGGGATGGTTTAACAATACAGCCCACTTCCTCTGGCCACGTCTCCTTCCCTTGTCCCTCCCCTCCCCTTCCCCACTGTTTTCCAGGCTTTTGCATGGATTTTCCCATTCTAGAAGGTTGAATTGCTTCTCCAAAGGCTTTCAGAACTTTAAGTTAAACCAGGCTGGTATTTTTGGTATTGACATTGCATCTGTTGCCTCTGGCCCTACACTTCACTGGAATAAACCCCACAGGAGTTTCTGGGAAGCAGAATCAGGCTGAAGGAGGCTCCCCAGTCTTGCCACATGGCCTTGGGCAAGAAGTTCTTCCCAAGGTTTAATTTTCCCATCTGCCCACCAAGACAGCGGCAGCCTTCTCTCTAGATGTCCATATGGGTTGATTGCTGAAGGTGCTTTCTTAAGAGGCTTTAATGACTGGTAGCCACCAAAATGTTGCGCCCCACGCTGGCCTGACTGCATAGGAGGCTGAAGAAAGCAGTCCTGCTTGTCAGAATCCAGTGCAGAGAGTGACAGATGTCTGAATTGGGCAGAAGAGTCGCCAAAAGCCGCACTTCTGAGCACTGCAAATGTAGGTTACTACAACTTGGACAACTGGGGCTTTTTCCAACTCTGCCAGCCCAGTAGCTTACCCTTCTCCTCCGTGAAATCCAGATGCTTCTTCTAAATAATTTTATGATCTCTCCCCAAAGGGAAATTTTTTATGGCAGCTCTGAAGGGATCCACTGCCCGAAGAAGGAGGGAATGGTGAATGACAGAATGAACATAGCAAAGCGGGTGTTTTCCATGAGTGCCCCTTTAGGTTCCTCAAAGAGCCAAGCAGGCCAAGAGCTGTGCTGATAATAACCCTGTTGTTTGTTCAGGGGATGAATGCTCTTGCCACAATATTCTGCATACACTCCTCAGAGCGGCCTGAGATGCTTGCCTGGTGCAAGGGAAGCTTCAACAACTCTCAGCAGCTGCAGGAAAGCGATTCCTGAAGGGCAGTAATGGCACATCACCAAAATGAGCCAGAAATGTTTGCCTTTTGCAGGACCGGGAAGGATTCACACCGTGTCTGCCAGTATCACAGAGCAGCTGCAGCAGCATTTCCTAATGGGCTGCACTGCAACTCCCATTACCCCAGCAAGCTGGCTGGGGATAATGGGAGCTGTAGTTCAACATGTCCAAAAAGGTGCCGGTGGATCCAAAGAAGTTGTAGGTATACACAATATACATGTACGTGGGTGTGGAGGAGAGCAAACACTTCCTTCTGAATGAAAGGTTTACTTTCACTGTTGGTGCATTTGTGTGTGTGTGTACCTGCAGCAGCCTGGGATTGCTCCCTCTCTGGAAATTGCTAGGGAATCGTGTGCTTTTTTTGGAAAAGGCCAGATATCCCACTTGAGGCGTGGCTTCTTAAAGACAGACCAGATGGCTGCATCCAGCCATGAATGAGTTGCAGAACTGCAAAATGCTGGACTGGGACGAAGACATCCTGGGCTCAGGTCCCCATCTGGCCATGAAGTTCACTGTCTGATTTTGAGCTAGTCATTTTCTTCCATCCACAGTTACCTCACAGGGTTGGTGTGAGGATAAAACCACCTGTGTTTCCCTGCGTTCCTTGGAGGAAAAGGTGAGGTTGGGGGAATAACATGATAAGTACATTTTGATACAACCATTCTAGCACGGGGAGGGACATGGCATCCAATGGGAAGAAATGGGGTGGGGTGGCAGATGTCCCAAGAAGCCGCATGGAGCAGGAGAAGGACTTATGGGGCAGCAAGCATCTCCTAGAGATCCTGAAGGAAACCGAGGCAAGTTGCTCCCCCATACGTGGTCACCCAGGCTCACAAAGTCTATGATGGGAGATCTGGACCTGGACCTTCCTCCAAAGGAGTCAGCTGGACAGTTTTCTCCAAAGGGCAACCCAGGACAGGAGAGCTCTCCCCTGAACTCTTGGTAAGATGCCCTCAGCAATTCCAAAAGAGCCGATTCTGGGAGCTGGAGGCCAGCTGGGGAGTTCAGGGAAGGATTATGCTAGAGCAAAGGGGAGCAAAGGTATTTGGACCTACAAATCCCATAGAGCCTTTACCATTAGCTACTCTGGCTAGCATTGATGGTAACAAAAGCTAAAATCCAGAAAGCCCCAAGCTGCTCTTCCCTGCCCAGACACAGAGAAAACCTGGGTAAATAGCTTGACTAAGGGACAGAAACCTTTGTTTTAAAGACCAAATATTTATGGGATAACTGCTGGGGGTGGGAGGAGGAGGAGGAAACAAACACCAGACCCAGACTATTGCTTTATGCATACATAAGGAATTAGAAATTAAATCTGAACCATCTTATTCCACCATCACGCAAGAGAACGATTAGTTTTCTGGGCAACTGAGCCACTGTCTTCATAATTATCCCTTGGTTACATTGCTTGGTTACATTACATCAGGATGAGGGAACCCCAGGAAAAAGGGAGGGACTTTCCACCTTTTTATTCTCATTGAGGCCGTTTGTTACGAAACTTGGGCACTCGTCAGCTGAACAGAAAAGCTCATCACAGGAGAACATCTCTCCCTCCCTCAGCAGCACCCC